CCTTACGTAGGTTACGTGTGGCAGCCTAGCTGCTTTACGTATTACGTAAGGCAGCGACGTGCGTTACGTATAGCTGCTGGCAGAATTAATGGCGGTGGCTGAATTAAGCTTAGCTGTTGTACATGAATTAAACGGGCCGACTCGTTCCGAAAAAAGTTCAATAGATTGATATGGAATAAAAGTCTTAGCACGCTCAGAAATCTTGCCAGACCTGTATAGAAAATTTCACGTGATTGGATGACTAATTATTACTACAACTACTGGAATTTATCTTGGGTCACCGTTGGTGACAATTAAACCTTTTCGAAAAGCGTCCGAATACTTAACAGTAATAGCAAAACTTTTAAATATTGTAAAGCAAATCCCGTTTGAATTCGTGCTCGGCCCTCTTAAGAATAATAGTAAATCGACTTGCTAAAAGGTGGCTAAAACGCTTATAGATAGTCTTCAATTGCTTTTCCGTAAAGTAGTAATAAACGGTCTCGCTTTCGATGCTATAATAAGTAGCAGCGTGCTCTTTACTTAATAGCATTTATACGTGCTTAAACATCTTTATTATTAGTATTTCCTTCTTCTTTTAAACTAGCACGTTCCGCAAGTTATTTAAGATTACTTTGTGCTTATTTATATCAGCTAATAAGAATAAAAAAAGTACGTCGCTTTTTATAACGTAGAACTTTATTTGATTTAAAAGAGTATCTAAAGTAACTGCTTTAATAAAAGTAGCAGAGCCGATCTCGTATTTAACGGACTTCTCTTTTGCTCGAGATATATCTAATTAAACTTCGAAGTACTTCTTTTAAAGTGCTCGTAATTAAAGCAAGCTAGCGGTAAAGAAATTAGCTGCTCTGCTATCAATTATAAAGCTTATAAACACGTTTTCCGAGTACTTAAAAGCTATATAAGTCTTTGCTTTGCTCGCGGGCACGTTTTGAGTCTCGATTTAGCTAGTAAAAGCGTAAAATGCCGTTTAGATCTCTAATTGTTTATATACTTCGTTAGCGTTAAAAGTGCCGTAAGTAATTATAAAACCTTCCGATATATTAACGTAGCTGCTCGATTCGAGCGGCTCGTTTAATAAGCTTGTAATAAACTAATCAAATTCTTCCGTAGATATAAATAGCAAACCTTCGATCGATGCTACGTATTAAAAGAATTTGCTTTTTGTTATTTTTTTTGCGTCTTTAAAGCTTTAAAACTTAACGACGGATGCTTTACGCTCGTCGAAAGTATAATTAATGCTCTAGCAACTTAGCTTCTTGCAAACAAAACACTTTTTCTTACTTTTAATAGCTTTAACAGCTTTTTTACTTTCGAAGTATTAGCGGTCTTAAATAAAGCATTTGTATTTTTCGTTTAAATCGGAATTAGCTTTTAAGGTGTGCTAAAAGCAAGTGTGATCGTATAGCTCGCTAGAGCTCGCGTAAGCTTTACTTGCCTTAATAAAAGGTCGAGAAGTCTTAATTGCAAACGCAATAGCTTTGCGAATATCGGTAATTGCGGCGGTAAAAGTAAACGTAAGATTTATTCGTGTAATAATAGTTTTTAGCACATTTTTACAAGCTAAATACAGCTTGTCGGCAAGACTTTTATCGTCTTTCAGACTTAGTCGTAATAAGCCTTGAATGCCCTTAAGCTTTTTAGCGAGCTTTTTAAAGCACTCGCTAAGCGAAGTCCTTAGATTTTTTTTTTTAATTAAATCTAGCGAAATTTCCTTTTAACGGTCGTATTTTGCTTGCCGCCGGTAATCAGTTTCGAAGTGGTCTTTTATTGCAATAGCGTTCGCTTTAAACGTAAGAAGCTTAGCCTTGATCATATAATTATAATAAAAGGTTATAGCTTCTTTTATAAGCATAATAAAGAACGCCGCTAAGTAGTCGTCTAAGATCAAACCGTACCGACTTACTTGATTAGCAAAAATCTTTAATTAAGTTTTAAAGTCATCGTCGGGTCTCGAATACTTTAGCTTTTTAAGAAAGCTTCTTGCAAACAAAGCTAACTCCTTTGCTTTTAAGTAAAAGTCCGTTGCTCTTAGCTTAAAGAAATCGTTTCTATCATCGTTAAAAGCATTTAAAGTGTTATACGCAAGTATGCTATGCTTAACTAATAGTTTAATCGATAAAAGGTTATCGATATAATTGCCGGTGGTCCGTCTTTTTTTAAAGTCTTTAAAAAGCTTATTTTCGAATCCGAAGTCTTTTAAAAGTCCGTTTCCGAATCCTTTTAATAGTCTAAAGAAGCCGTTCTTACTTTTTCCGTATTCGTATCTTCGATCTTTTTACTAATCTCTTCCGTTCTTTTTTCGTCGGTTATCGTTAAGATCGCTAAAGTTATTCGAGTCATTGGCCGAGGCTTTAGCTTAATAATATCCGTACTTTTGAGCGCGCTCTTAACGATTCTTATACTTTTAGTATCCTTTTTATCGATACGTAGCTTATTAAAAGATCTAGAAAGCTTATCGATACGTTTGAAAGTGCTAGATTCTTTTTTCGAATTGCTGATATTAAGCACGGAAATCTGCACGCTATCTTTAATAAAAGCTGGTTTTGCTTTTAAGTTTTGGCGGGTTCTCTTTTAGCGTGTAGCTCTCGTAGCTTCGAGTGTTATCTAGTCCGATAATAATCTTAAGACCTTTGTTATTATTGTAAACACCTTGCCTGATAGGGTACCTGCTATGGCCACTAGGGCCACACTAGACGGACCCATCTTCTATAAGAAGGCACACATCTCTTAGCTAGAACAATCAACGAGCTTTCTACTCATCTTTTTTAGCATTTCCTTTATAAGACTATAAAGTTTAGCCTTAGAGCTAGGCTTTTATATAGCACATCTTTTTAAATGCTTTTATATTAATGACTTACGCAAGGATTCAAACTTTTAGTTTTTATCTTTATACAGCTTATTACAATCGCTTGATTCGCAGTTAAGTTAATCTTCATTTATCATTCAGCCTTTTTCACTTTTTATAATTACAACTTTAAAACAATCAAAACCTTATTCTCGATAGGTTCGGACACCGAAACGCCGTAATAGCCGAAGTGCAATATTTCGGCTCTTCGGCAAAAACTCTCTTTTATTATTAATAAAAAAGAATTTTCATTTATTAATGAAAATACCTTTTTATACTTTAACTCTTATCTTAAATTAAAGCAATTAACATGGTCCGGAGTTATTAGCGAAGCTAATCAATTGATTTTTAAGTTTTTTATAATTCTGATCTTAACTATTAGTTTACTTTTGCAAAAGGTCTACTCTTTTTAATTTCGAATCGAAAATACTTTACGAAAGTCATTTATTTAGCTCGTGAACTTAGTTTACGAATCAAAATCAAACAATTTAAAAACCTTTTATCAATCCGATCATTCTTAGCATATACATATATTTGATCTTTAAAATATCGAAAACCTTTTTAAGATTTCTAATATCGAAGTCGACGCTGAGTTACCTCTTTTTTCGTTAGAATTTTTTAAATTTGTTAAATCTTTTAATCGTATTCTTATAAGCTTCGGATTATCCTTATCTTATTTCGACCCTTAACTAAAACCTTTACTTTTACTTCTATCGAAAACACTTGCTCCGGAAATGCTTTCTAAAATCAACACCGGTCTTAAGATTTATATTACTCTTTTTTTTCTTGCTTTTCTTGCTCTTCTATTAAGCTTTGCGCTAATTATAATCGACCTTATTATCTTTCACGCTTTCATGACTATTCGCATGCTATTGCTAAGTGCCCTAAGGGCTCTTTGCTTTAATAATGCTAATATCATCGATTTTATCGAAAAGTACAAAAAGACTTATAATAATTTTAATATCTTTAAAGACGATCGATTTATTAAGCTTTTTCGTTATTACGATAACTTTCGCAAAGAAGTTATTAAAAGCTTGCTCGAATAGAAAGCTAAGAAAGATTAAGCTGCTTTCGTTAAAGCTTTAAAAGCCGAGTTTCGTAAGAACGATACTTAATAGATTAAAGACTCGGTCGCTTTTTTACGAGAATTTGCTATGCAAAAATAAAATATTAATAACTTGAAAAACTATTATCGCACTTTTTTTCGAGTCTTTAAAAGACTTACTTTAATGCACTTCTTAAGCAAAACCGAACAAAGCCGCTTGTTTTTTCTCGGATTGCTCGTCGGAATCCGAAATAAAACGATTAAGCATTATAAAGTCGACGAACTTGACTTAAACTCTTATATTGCTTTCGACGACTTCGTCGCATTCGCTTTTAAAACCGACTAGAGTATTAAGATTATCGAAGCTATAAATCAAAAAAAGTTTCTTTTAGCTAACTTTATTAAAAATATTTAAACTTTAATTAAAAAACACACCGAGCCGGTTAGCGTGCTTAAGTCTGCTAAGAAAGCCTTAGTAGTAATGCCGTTTACTCGTAAACTACGGTTCACGAGTAAAAAAGAAAGATTTAATAAAATAAGTTTTATAATTAAAAAGTTTTTAATTTATAAATTAATACGATTTATAATCGAATTGACTACCTTAAAGATCAAGTCGTTAACTTAACTTCTCGACGCTTTGTTTAATCTCAACTTTAAGTT